ACATGGGTAATAGGAACTGAACATGAGTCCTCTACAAAAGCATAAAGTGCTCTTAACCATTGAGCCGTTTGTCAGTCCTATTTTTAGCAAGGGGTCTCCTGTAGCTGAGAACTGCCCTGAACTTGCTCTGTAGCTAAGGATGACCTTGAATTTCTGATCCTCCTGCCTCTGCCTCCCAACAGATGGGATTCCAGACCTCATCCAAAGATTGCTTGAATAAGACATTATCAGTCTGACGATTCTGTCGGGTCCCATACCCATGCTTGGGTATATCTTATTCTGTCCCTAGCATCTGTATTATTCTTCTACCTCCAAGCTTGAAATCTACCCTCCTTGGGGGGTAGCTCAGTCAGAAAGTATCTGCCACACACACATGAGGACCCGAATTTGATGCATCAGAACGTATATTAAAAGGTTTAGTCCCTCAGTGTGCACCTGTAATCCCAGCACCGGGGATGTAGAGCTGGGCAAAGCTACAGTCCTTGCTGGCCAGCTGCTAATCTAGCCAAACTGGCAAGCTTGGCTAGTTCAATGGCAGACCCTGTGTCAAAACCAATAAGGCAAAGGCTGAGTGAGGGAGACACCTGATGTCAAGCTCTGGCCACCACATGTGTGTGCACAGTTGTGAGACAGGCTATCCTCAAACTATGGAACCAAAGATGACCTTGAACTCCTGATCCTCCTGCCTCGACCATCCAAGTTCTTTTCTTTTTTAAAGTTTTTTTTTTCTTTTCCTCTTTTTTGTTTTCAAGACAGAGTTTCTCTGTGTAGCCCTTGCTGTAGAATAGGCTGGCCTCGAACTCAGGAATCCACTTGCCTCTGCCTCCTGAGTGCTAGGATGAAAGGTGTGCACCACGACTGCCCAGCTCTATCCAAACTCTGAGAGTGCAGGGGTGTAGATCTATGCCTGGCTATTATCTTTCACACAGCCCTGATGGGAATGGAAAATGGTTTTAAAAAGAAATAAAATAAAATAAAATAAAATTGAACATTTCCACTAAAATCAGATATGCCCTGGTATAGCTTGACTCTGAAATGTCTCCCAATTTTTTGAACTCCTGGTCTCCAATTAGTGTCTCTCCTTTTTCCTTTCCTTCCTTCCTTCCTTTCTTTTCTTTCTTTCTTTCTTTCTTTCTTTCTTTCTTTCTTTCTTTCTTTTTTTGTTTCTGTTGTTGTCATTGTCAGTGGTCCTAGGCTATGGGATGAGACTTGTAGAAACAGGCCATTATGGATGGGATAGAAGGTTACCCAGCCCCTATTTACCACTTCCTTCCTCTGTTTCTGATCTACCAAGATATAAGAAACCCCTGCTTCATGTTCTCCTGTCACTAACCCCACCACACCTTCTCCACCTCTATGAACTAAAGCAGTTGAGTGTCCTTAAATTGTCTCTACCGGGTGTTTGGTCACAACAACCTGAAATTAATACAAATATACACACACTCTAGGTTGCAACAAGTTCACTCCCAGCTTCGGGGGCTGGCCACCCAGAAATGTGCCAGAAGCTGACAGAATCACCATGTGTAGTCCCAACCTGATGCTCAAAGGCCCAGCAACAGGTCAACAGGTAAGACTGTGGTGTGTCTACAGTGTGGAATCTTAGACATCATGGATGAACTCACAAGCATAATATTGAAAGAATAAACCAAAGACATAAAAGAGTGTAGCATGCCAGGCACAGTAATAAAGTTGGTGATCCTGGTAGTTAGGAAGCTGAGCAAAAACATTGGGAGTTTGAGACCTGAGCCACAAAGCGATACACTGTCAAAAGTCATGTGGTGGGGTACATGTCTGTATTTCCAGCACTTGGGAGGCTGAGGTAGGATATAGGGTGAGACCTTGTCTAAAAAGAAAAGAAAAGAAGAAGGAAGGAAGGGAGGGAGGGAGGGAGGGAGGGGAGAGAATAAAAGAAAAGAGAAGAAAAGAAAACAGGGCTGGTGAGATAGTTCAGTAGGTGAGGGCGCCGGCTTGTACACGTCTAGTGATCCAAGTTCAACCCCTGAAAGGCAGGCAAAGGTGGAAGGAGAGAACTGACTTGTAGAATTGTCCTCTGACCTCCTCATGCCATGCACGCCACAGCAAGCACACTGACACACGTACCTCATGCACACACATGGTGAAAAACAGGACACAGAGATTGGGAAAATGGCTCTGTGGCTAAAAGCACTCGCTGGACAATCACGGGGACCTGAGTTGGGATCCCAGCATGCACATAAGGAGCCAGGCACCCAACCTAAGCCTGTAACCCTGGCTCTGCGATGACCAGAAGGCAGGATTACTAGAGCTTTTGTCTTCAAGTCTAGTCCAGAAAAATCAAAAGTCCAAGGTCAGCAAGACCCTTTCCACCAGGATCAGGTGGAAGATGGCAGATGAGGACACCCAGAGCTTGTCTCTGAGTGTATTACATGCGCGCGCGCGCGCGCACACACACACACACACACACACACCTGCAAGCAAACTATCCACACACATACACTTGTTTTATTTTGTTTTGATTTGGGTTTATTGTTGTTGCTGTTTTCAAGACAAGGTTTCTCTGTAGAGACCTGGCTGTCCTAGAACTCTTTCTGTAGACCAGGCTGGCCTCAAACTCAGAGATCTGCCCACCTCAGCCTCCCGAGAGCTGTGATTAAACACATGCACCACCACTGCCCAGCACAATAAACTCTTTTATATTAAAAATTAAAACACAGGCCAAGCATGGTAGCAGACGTCTTTAATTCTAGCACTTGGAAGTCAGAGGCAGGCGGATCTCTGTGAGTTCCAGGCCAGCCTGGTCTACATAGTGAGTTCCAGGACAGCCAGGGCTACACAGAGAAACCTTGCCTCAATAAACAAACAAACAAATAAATAAAACACGCTCATTGAGGATTATCCTGCCAGCCAAACAACCACCATCCTTGGGAGTTCAGCCATGTCAGACTGCAAAAGGTCATCACAGTCGAACATGTGATTGCTGACTTCTAAGAGACTCCCTAATAGACATCCAGAGGCTCCAACCCTATGGTGACTGCAACACTGCCCTAACTGTGCATGGCCTCAGGGAGGGGCTAGAGTATGAAGACTAGGCAGGACTCCATCATCCCTGGAGGGTAAAGACTTTCCAGTCCAGCAGCCACACCACTGTACCTCCTTCCTCACTCCTCACCTATGCTCTGCACACAGCACATCCACTGGTGCCCAAGGGTGAACTTTGGTGTCATCATAGCATGGCTTATCACTGAGACCCTGGTAAGGGAACAGACATTGTTTACACTTTTCCCAGGGAAAGAATTTTAGCAAAACACACACATACACACACACTCACCAAAGTCTTGGGCCACCAAGAATGCTCAGTAGATAAGGGGGCCTGCCATCAAGTCTGATAACCTGAGTTCAATCTCTAGGACCCACATGGTGGAAGGAGGGAACAGACTCCCACAAATTCTTCTCTGACTTCTATACACATGTTATCCCACATGCAGACATGCAGACAGACAGATAGGTAGACAGACAGATAGATGTAATAACATAACAAGGAGTCTGGAGAGATGGCTCATCAATGAAGAGCACTCAGCTGCTCTCCTGAGGACCAGAGTTCAGTTCCCATCACTCACACTAGGGGGCTCACAGCCACCTGTGACTCCAGCTCCAGAAGACCCAATGTCTCTGGCCTCTGAACACACACACACACACACACACACACACACACACACACAAGCACTCTCACACAAGCACTCACACACACAAGCACACACACACCTGCACTCACATGCACACACCTGTATTCAACACGCACACACCTGCACATAATTACAGATAATATCTTTTTTTTAATGTAAGAAATATAAACACAGTCCTAAATAGAATCGTTTGGCATTTCAGGACCAGCTCCACCACTCAGGAAGCTACGGCAGGAGAAGGCTGTGAATTCCTGGGTTAAACTGAAAGACCTAGCCTTAGGAAGGGAAAATGAGGGCTGAGGATCTGGCTCACTTTTGCTCTTGCTAAGGACCCAGGTTCGATTCCCAGCATTCATGTGGAAGCTCACCACCTTCATAGGTACCAGGAATGCATGTGGTAAACAGACAAACATACAGACAAAAACACTCATACACATTAAATAATTTTTCAAAAATCTAAATTTTTAAAGAAAGAAAGAAAATGAGAGCTGGGGGTGTGATGGCACAGGTTTTTGCGGGCCTTTAACAAGGAGGCAGAGGTAGGCGATTATCTGTGAATCTAAGGCCATTCTAGTCTATACATCAAGTTCCAGGACAGTCAGAGCTACCGAGAGAGATTGTCTTGAAAAAGAATATTGCTGGGCAGTGGTGGTGCATGCCTTTAATCTCAGAATTTGGGAGACAGAAGTAGTTAGATCTCAGAGTTCAAGGTCAGCCTGGTCTACAAAGTGAGTTCTAGGACAGCCAGGGCTGTTTTACAGAGAAACCCTGTCTTGAGAAACAAAATAAACTAACAAAAAAGTCCCGTGATTGGTGATGGTGCACACCTTTAATCCTAGCACTCTAGAGACAAAGGCAAGAGGATCTCTGAGTACAAGGCCAGCCTGGTCAACAGAGTGAGTTCCAGAACTGCCAGGGCTACATAAACAACCCCCCCGCCACCAGTCTCAAAAACAAAAACAGAAAACAAAATGACATAATTCTGGGACTGTGCATTTGGATAGTTATGTGGGTGCACTGCCTCACCCAGGAACCCTGAGTCATTATTTCAATTCAACTAAATTAGAAAATAAATAAAAATTAGAACTAAGTCGAGCTGAAATTAGTCCCCAAGCAGCACTGGGCGCACCAGCGCTCACTGGCGGAGGCTGCAGCGGAGGCTGCATAGACATTGCAGATGCAGACCCAGCTCCAATGAAGTGGGGACTTCACTGGCAGAGCCAATCAGCGGGGACTCTTCCATGTTCCTAGGCATCAAGATTCTCAGGCACTAAGAGACACCAGCGCCACAGAGGCCTCCTCCCACTACTCCACCCAGCCACCCTCTTTTCCAGGTACCTGCTAAGGCCTTGATCCTAGAGCACTCGAAGAGGGAAGCCGCAGTGGTGTTGGCAGCTGCCGGAGGTTCCCGATCCCAGCCCCTATCTGGACTCTCCCAGCGGGCTGCAGGGTTGTTGTTGTTGTTGCAGGCTGGTGGGCCCTCCATGTTGTCCACTTCTCCTTGAACTTGTGCCATTGGGGATGGCAAGGCCTGGGAATGGGGAAAGAAAGGTAAGTGCAGGAAACGGCCAGAGACCAGAGTACCCACTTCTCATTCTCTCAGTGGGTGCCTACTCACTCAGTTCCCTGTCACAGTCTGGGTTTCTCTGTCTTTCACAGTAGAACAACAACAATAATAATAGAAAGAAAGAAAGAAAGAAAGGAAGAAAGAAAGAAAGAAAGAAAGGAAAGAAAGAAAGGAGAGAGGGAGGGAAGGAAGGAAGAGACAGAGAG